TAATAATAATAATAATAATAATAATAATAATAATAATAATAATAATAGTATAGTAATAATTATTATAGTTTGTCCTTGTAGAAACTTTTAGTTTGGCATAACCTGGAAGACAGCCAAACCTACGATGTACAAGGAGTTTGTACGTGTACAATGTTCTTACATGTGTCACGACGCGGTGGATTCAGGCGCTAGTCAATTTTGGGGCATATGGAGTTATTACTATTGTCTTAAAGCTTGTTCATTTGTCTTGCATCTGGTGAAAAAATACTCCTCTCTCTTGAATTGAAGTTCAGATATTTGCAAAGGAAGGAGGAGGGGGTCACCTGGTTTCAGAGATAAAATTAGTGAGAAAATGGCTGCCAAAGATTAGTTATATCTTTAGCTTGTGAGTCTGTGGAAACTCAAAATTTACATTTTTTTGCCTTTAATCAACCGTTTCGAAGTAAAATCCACTTATAAATGTGTTCTTTAGTGGGCATGAAAGGTGTTGAGCCAAAATATGAAATTCGATAAAAATCAACAAACCTGCTGAAAATGCTAGTTTTTTTCCACTTTCATTATTTTGACGAGCGCCTGATTTCACCACACTGCCTCACATATTGCTTGTGACATTTTCTTATGTCCGTGTTATCTGGGTGAGTAGAAGTGCTCTAGCGGGGTAGCCAATGCAGTTAATGAATATACATTGTACTTACTTTATGCATGTATAATAATATTACAAGGTAATCTCACCAGGGGGCTCTCGTGGCCCAGAGGTCAATGTGTTCGCCTCTCATTCATAGGTTCCGGGTTCGAATCCGGGTAGTGATGGAAAAATGTTCTTCTCTTAAATTGTCTCCTTTAACCTTCTTTCCTTCTCACTTGTAATTTTCTTTCGTCTGCTTTCGTCTCCACTTTCTTCCCCCACCCCTTCACCCCCTTTGCCCCTCGACTGGGTTCCTGATTCTTTCTGCAGCCTTTCTACTGCTACTCCTTGGCTCCTTCTTACTACTGTCTTTCCGTAGGAAAGATTTACACTTAGCCTTCTCGGACAAGGGCGAAAAATCGTACAGGTACGTGATAAAAACACCCCGTTCACGGCCTGATAACTAAACAGCCAACTAACAAATTTAATTTTAGTAACAAACGTAGTACATGTATAATCAGGAAGATCCTTCTCAGTTTCATCATCGCTTGTAATCTGCATATAAAGTGTAACAGACAGAACAATGTGTTATAAATAATATATTCGTAAGATAAAGCAAACGTACTGCGTATGTGTGCATGTTTGTGTGTGTGTGTGTGTGTGTGTGTGTGTGTGTGTGTGTGTGTGTGTGTGTGTGTGTGCGTGTGAGCGTGTGTATAGGCCTAGGTGTACGTGGTGAAACACCAAACCAATGTGCCAGGATCTGGCCAATAAAGACTTATCTTATCTTAACGATTCTTATCTTATAAAGCCTGCTGCTATGATGTTTTTGTTCCAAACCTTTCTTGAATGTTTGTTTTTTGTTTTGTTTTAGTAGAGGTTTTACGGCGCTCGCAACTGCATAATAAGGTCATATGAGCTCCAGAAGATTAGAGGTGTTACAAAAGAGTAACAAACATAAAAAAGGAGGGGAGATAAGGACGATAGATGTTTGATAGGAAAGAAGAAGCAAACCACACCAGAGCATCCGCCAACCACCCACTTCTTGCGTGTTTGCATATCGCAGCAGTACTGACATGTAACTTGACTGTGATTTAATCAATAAGAGCTGGCTGGCCCTCTGCCAAAGTGTACCCAGGGTTTGCGTGTGACAGATCTGTCACCAATCAACTGATTGTGGGCTGCGAATGAGATTGAGATTTGTTTGTGTTAATACATGTACGTGTGTGTGTGTTTGTGTGAGTGTGTGAGTGTGTGTGTGTGGG